CTGGAACATTTTGTAAGCACGGAGATTAATAAGTTTTTAAAAGGCAGTCAAACTCAAATACAAATATAAAATCCTCTTACTTTACCCAATAAATATCCTTTCCTCCTCACCCTCATCTTAGATCCTAGCCCCATACATTATATTTGCCTGTATTGATCTTTTCACAAATGAAATCTAAAGAAAACATTTCTGTGCATTCACTCTTTTCACCTATACTGTGCTTGTAAGATTTACTCACACCAGTGTATGCTGTAAAAGTTTGTTTACTTGGTTATTATATAGTATTCCATGGGGTACTACAATATATTTTTAATCTACTGATAGTGAGGATTGTTTTCAGTATGCAGTACTATAAGTAACACCTACAATGTCCATTACTATATGTGAGTTTTTATGTACTAGGTGAGTATATATATATATATATATATATATATATATTCTCAAAATATACCTCAGAGAAAAAGCACTGAATCAGATTATTTTCATGTTCTAGTTTCTCACATGCAGCAACAATCATAAGAATCCAAAGATCCCGATAGTCTCAAATTGAAATTGCTAATGTTAGCACTATGATTTCTACTTGCATTTTCTGAGAATTTCTGAGAGCAAGTGCCTTTTATATATTTATTCAAACTTGAATATCTGCTATGATGTGCCATTTGCCCAATTTTTATTGACTCATTTCTTTTGTCCTTATCTAACTGAAGGAATTTTGTATAGTTTGGATGCTTTTCTTTTGTTAATAATGTGTGTTGCAAATATCCTCTTACTCATTTTTCACATTTTAACAACGTTATTGTGCATTATCATTGGTAAACAGCAAACTGAGCAATTTTTAAATGTGCAATTTAACATATATACACCAGTGCCACTATCACTATAATCACAATTCCCCTTGTCTTTTAGCAATCCCTGTAGTTATGATTCTCTGCCTCTTTTCAATGGACACATCTCTTTTTGGATGACTTCCAATTCATTTTGAATGAAGTAGATATTGTCTACTCTTAAAGAATTTGCAGTCTTACTTAATGACATTTGAAGTTGGATAGATCTCTGTTATGTGGCTGAGGGGGTTGTTGGTTGTCCAGTGCATTGACATGTTCAACAACATTCTCAGCCTCCACCCACAAAAAGCCAGGGGTAGATCCCAACTGTACAATCAAAAATACCTCCAAGAATTGACAAATAATCTTTGAAGAGACAAATTACCCCACTTGTTGGGAGCTGTTAAAGCTGGAAATTGACCATACGTGCAAGGCTGGAGCATGACCATCCCAGGAAGAAAGAACACCCGGGACAAGCCACTTAAAGAAGCTGCTTCAACTCAGGTAACACCTAGCCCCAAGACAATCTGAACAGTGGATTGCTAGGGCAATGGGAAGTCATGTGACATTAACTTGCTAGAATGTATTAATAGACAGTCCTGCAGTGAGACGGCAGTTCCTTCCCTCCACTTTGGAGAGTAAGGGCTCCACCTGGCCCCAGTTTTGTCTCTTCTCATCTTTATTTTCTCATCTTCTCAGAGTCCTTCACCCAAGAAACCTCGAGGGCCACGTGGGTTGTGGAACCCACTGAGAAACACAAAACATGTTTTGGGTTTACAATTATATAGTTATTGTACTAGATTACTTGCATTTTTAATATAATTTTTCATTCTTTTATTTTCATTTCACTACCATGTAATAACAGTTATAATATAATACATACCTGAAAGTTTCAAAATCAGGGTATACAGTTTTTCCTCTATTTACTATTTTATCCTGGAATTTAGTTAAATCTCATTTTATCTGTGCATCCCTCATATTGTAGGTGAAACGTCTTATTAATGCAACCAAATGCTAAAAGAATTGAAACTGAGCTTTGGTCTTTGTGAGAGAGAGGCTGATTTCACGTTCACTCCTTTTTCTCAGATGTGGCCCCATGCTGATGGCAAAGCGTGGGTGGTGTTCCCCAGGGGTTCCCTTCTTTGTCGGGTCTTGAACTTCAAGTGTCCTTTGCCTTCAGGTGTGAAGCTGGGTGCCTGTGCTGAGCCTTTCGTGCCAAAGCCTCTGCTTTGGGAGCAGCCTTGTCTCCCATGGGAAAAGCTCATGAAACACAAGTCTCTTCTCCTCCTTTGGTTTCCTTCCAAGCTTTGGTCCTGCACTTCCCCTCTGTTTTCTGAGCTCTGTACACCTTCAAACAGATGTTTTCATCTATTGTACAGTTTTCCTACTTGTTCTCAGAGGAATGCCAGAAACCTTGTCTTTATTTTTTCCTTTGCTTACAATCCATCTGTAGAATGTGGGAATGCTTCAGGGCTTGTGGAAGGTCTTGCTATTGTTTTCCCTTTTCTATGTCTCTCTCCCAAGTGATCAGTTCTAGCTCATAACCCTAGTTCAGTTTTATTGTTTCACCTGTTGTTTTGTTTTTCAAGATTTATTAGATGATAATAACCATAAGTATCCAAACATAACATCAGGAAGCAGTTAATTTTCCCTTCAATGTTTGCTTCCCTTGTTTCCCACAACATTAATATATTGATCTATGACACTCCAGTTTCTCCTATTTTTTGCACTTGTACAAATATATGTGCTCCCAAGCACAGAATTCACAAATAGAAAAAAAATTGTGATTGCTTATTGAGACAAAAGTTGACTTACTTAAGTGTGCTAATGTGTGTTTAAATTTCCTTTGCTATTAAAGATGTATCATGTTGCCAGATGTGATGATGCATACTACAATTCCAGCTATTCCAAAGATGTAGACAGAAGGATCTCAAGCTCAGATACAGCCTAGTCAGCATAACAAGATTCTGTCTCAAAAACAAAATAAAAAGTCTCACTGATTATAATATTGCAGATATTGAATGAGGTTTTAGTTCATTGTTTTGAGCAATTGTATAATATGACATAACATGGCTATATTATGATATTCAAATTACTTTCTTATTGCAATAAATGCTTTTCTCATACCCATGCTATGTTTAGATTAATAGGTGGATACTGGTAGAAACACAACAGCTAATTGCTGGATTAGACAATGTGTATTTGAATTTTGATGCTCTACACATTACCTGATCACTTTCCAAAAATTTAATATCCATTACTATTCATTACCATCAGCGTGTTTGGGTTGACTTATCAATTATTAGTTACCAGTTTTCCAGGATACACTTGCGGTTTAAAAAATACTTCAAGCAATCTAAGAATGAAAATGGTCTCAAATTGCTTTTAGTTTTTTTTCTGACTCATACAAGATCACTAGAAACTGATTATATATATAATAAATTCAAGATAAGAGAGCAATTATATTGTATATCATTTATCCAGTAGCAATATAAAATCAAAAATACCTACTCTAAAATGCCAAGAAACTGGCAACATGGTGTTGGTGTAAATCTGTAGAGAGATCATTACAATGTCAAAACAAAAATTTTAGCAGTCAATGCATGCTGAATGTACTGACCTCTGAGACTGGCTCACACTGCCAAGTTGAGAGGGAATTTGATCTTCTCCGCCATCAGGGGAATTTGCTCCGATCAGTCTGGGGATTAGTAAAGTAGGAAGCGCAGAGCTGTTCTCCATCTGAGCTTCACTACAAAGTCATGGGAGTAAAACGGAACCAAATGCACATGCTTCCTCTCCATCGGCCTTCATTCACTGCAGTATTCCAATTCTAGATTCCTCATCCATCACTCAACTGAGAGGAACAGCAATCTCTCTCTGTTCATTGTGCTATTACCTAAAACTTTTTCGGGATTTTACTTGGTCAACTTTACTGTTTGTTTAAAGTTTTTCTCCACTATTCAAATAACATCTATTCAAGAGGTTGTTTATTATTAGAATTTATAACAAATCCAAAAATAGTTAACTTAGGACCATTTTTGTAGAAAAATTCATATTCTGTTATGAAAATCCTTAATTCTTTACTGTAAGCACTAATACATAAGTATGGAATATAAATAATAGAGAAGGTTCACATTAATGGATTCTTTTTGGTTAAGCAGTTCTGTTTGCAAGTTTGGCCTGTGCAATAGAGAGGTCTTTACTTCCTTTTATATGGCTTATACCATTTTTGCCTAATAATTTGTCTATTATGGTGACTAGACTTTGCTTTATGATCATTATTATTTTTATTTTTGTTTGATCATTTCTTTAAATACTAAATTATTATCTTTTTCTTCCTAAATATTTTAAGGCTCTCTTTACTGTAATCCTCTTGTCAGCATTTGAATGATTTTAAGTCTCTCTAAATATGAGCAAAATTAAGCAAATAACAAAAATCATGTCTACCTTGGCCTCTTGCTGTCTTGCAGGTGCTTTCAGCAATAAACTTCTGAGAATCAGTCTCTCCGCTCTCCGCACCTGACTTTCATGTGTCCCTCAGCTCATTCCAGTCTGGATTTTACCTCCTTGGCCTACTCCTGGGAGCAGCTCACCGGAAGATCACCAAAAACCTCCAAAAGTACCTCATCTCTCACAGGATACTGTTCATCTACCTTTTGCTTTGCTTTTTCACACAATGATCAGCTTCCCCCCTATTACATCACCATAGTCCAGTGTCCCATCCCTGTCCCTCTGCCCTTCCCTTCTCCCCATGATCAGGCCTGCTTCTCTCATCACTTGGTTCCCAGACAGACCCTCACCGCATCCCTCCTTCACTCTTGCTTTATGCTCATCTTACTGCCCATGACAGCCAGAAGGATGCACTGTGTGGTAAAAAGTATGGTGAATGTTTACATTAAAATTTATAGTGCCAATTAAAGACAGACTGCCACTAGCTCCCCTCACTTTGAACATGTTTATCTCATCATTTTTGGCATCCTGAAGCAGTTCTGTGAGACTTTCTTCATGACTGTCTTTAGTTATGTTGTGGGTTCCTTGATGTTCTTATTCAACATAAAAAGCTTACCTTTCGTGGTCGCTTTGATTTTGGGGAAGAGTCAGCAGTCACACAAGCCTAGGTCTGTTGAATAAGGTAGAGGAGGACGCACGGTAGTGTTTCTATGATCCTGCATTTCCATGCGATGGCGCTGTCGCTTACCTGTGCTCACACTGCAAGAAGACACTCACCAAGAAGGATTCCAGAACTGTGTCAGCAAGCAGCAAGCCTGTGTGCTGCGCAAGTTTGTTCAAGACGAGATTTTCGTGGAGATTAATGATGATGCGTCTATACACTAATACGTTTAAGACCTTTACTTAGATTCACAGTACTATTTGAACACATCTCCTACTCCCATCACATTAGCTGAGTATGTCACGTATGTCTGAAACCTTTTCAGTGGTTCTCATTTTTCTTAGGACAAAGAGCCAAGTCTTTCTCCTGTCCCACAAGTTGCTACAAAGAGCCTGGCTCTGGCCCCTTTTGGTCTAATTTTGATTTTCACTTTTCCCAAAACACTGCCATGTTTCCTCTGCCACAAGGCCTTGACAAGTACTTTCCCCTCTACTGAAATGTTTCTTTTTTCTTGACATTTACATCTTTGGTTCTTCCTGTCTCAGTTTGATTGTGGTCCTGTTAGGAACCTGCTTCACAGCTAAGCTAAGCCATATCTCCTCTACTCGCTTTCCTACAGACGTAATCTTCTTTCATGTCATTCAGCACAAGAAAGAAACTGTACATTAATTTTCATAGTTGTTCTGTGCTTCCTGGATATTTATTGGAAGCACCAAAAGGGCTGGCTCAATCAGTCTTTACTTGATAATGTGGCCAGCATTTAACACAATTTCTTTCCAACTGTAAACACTTCTCAACGCACTGTTGTGGAGGGCTTCTTTTTCCCAATATGCTCTGACAGTTCATTTACGGGTTTTCAGTGCTATAGCTGTCTAGGTTTTTCCCTTTCTATTCCCCTCAGGAGTTACTCAGGTGTATGTCAACAATATCTGTGAGTCTACATTATGTAGACTGTGAAGATGGCCCCCGTCTCATACATCCGTCTTTATTTATTCACTTTTTCATGTGAGTTAATTGCTCCTCCTATTAAAAAACAGAGTGACTTTTCTCAAGCTTATTTTTGGTGCCAGATGTAGGACTTAGTTTGATGTTCAAGATCTGGGGAGCACTGCTACGGTGGGGTTTCTTCTTTTGTACCATGAACTTTTCCTCAGCAAGATTTTGCCAAGCATGAGTTGCTATTCCTAAAGCAACAGAGATAGAGCTCTCTATAGCTGAACTGGGTCGATCACCACACCTTTAAAGATCTATGAACACAGACACTAACTACATGTTCATTACCTGTTCATGCTTTGGGAATTATTGGAATTTTTCACTGCACAGTATGACTGTGACTGCAGTTAAGTGATACCGTGTTGGGGAAGATTAGAGAAGACGTGGAATATTTAAGCAGAGCCTGCTCCTTTTCCAGCAATCTTTGTGGAGCTTGTAGGAAATTATATATTGCATAGCCTCATACTTTCTTAGAAGCATCCAGCCAGAATTCTGATGTGTCTTAGTAGGATAAGACAGAAATGTAGTTCCAGTCGGTTACACAGAGCCAGAGGCAGGCAATTAGGGTGGCGTAGGCAGAAGCAACTATTTATCGAGCACGAGCTCTTCTTGGAGTTTCATTGATCTTTTTTATGGTGTCTTTGCTTACTCTTTCATCCCACTTGTCTTTATTATTTTCCTTTCTGTTTCTTGGACTTATTTTCAGATGCTATTTTGGGGCTAATTTTGTTGTTGTTGTTGTTGTTTGCTTTTTTCTTTTTTTTTTTTAGTTCTAAGTTTTTAGCTGAAGAATTCATTTACAATTTTAATCCTTTTTTGTTTTCTTTTATGAACACTAATGACTATGAATCCTGTCTATTTATGCCCAGAAACTTTTATTGCATTCCTCAATTATCTTTGTGATGTTTCTCTTGATCCACTCTTAAATACTATATTGTGTCATTATGTCCTCTCTGACATATAGTTATTTTATATTTTTAAAGAACAAAACAGAAAAAAGGGTAGAAATAATACAGAATTTAAAAAAACACAGTAAGAAATCAACACTAGTTAACGATACTACTAATTCTCTGTTAGTTCATCAAAAAAGAATAGTTTGTGTTGTCATTGATTGATTGTTTATTTTCTATGCTTAGATTTTCTAACTTGAAAAACTACTTCTAAGATAATGATAGTTATTTTTAAATAATTTACATTTTTACTGTGGTCTCAGTATATATCTTGCCTGTGTTGATGTTTAAATTTTTCTACATATTATGTATTTTGACAGGAAAATCCTTTCCAATTGAAGTAAGATAGCCCTTCCTGAAGTAATCAATTATTAAAATAGTAAGGATCCCAGAAACAAATGAATTAAATAAGGTAGAGATATTAAAAATACAAGAAGGTAAACTTTTGGAAATGGGGAAAGGGACCAGAGGTAGTGGAAATAAGGGAAAAGAGAAAAGTGAAACAATAAACAATGGTTAGATATACTATATGTATGCACCAATTTCCTGAAGTGAGTGTCACTATTCTGTACTGCTAACACATACACAAAACACAAAAAGCAAACAAACAAAAAACAGAAAAAGGTTCATCTAAGAACAGCTTTGGACCTATAGATTGACCCGAGAGAGCATTTTTGCCTTAACTGTTCCAGGGCTGGGTGCAGCCATGTAACCTAGAGCCAGACAGAATTGTTCAAACTGGCTCATAACCCTACAGCGTTCCCCTGCCCTGCATTGCTGCATCTTGCTCTATTCAAGTTTCTGTTACCAAACCACCACCACCACCACCAACAACAACAATAAACCCACTACAAACTGAATCTAAATCAAAATAAGATCTGGTGTCTGGGCAGCCCAAAATTCAGGCACCAGCAGCTGTGGTGTCTGGTGACGGTCGGCTTTCTGTTTCACGATGATGCCTTCCAAGCTGTGTCCTCCTGTGGTGGAAGGAGAAGACTGATCTTCAGCTCCTTTAAGGGCTTGATTCTCATCCTGGAGAGTGCAAACCTCAGGACCCTCTCACCTCCAAAACACAAGGTGAGCCTGAAGCCTCAGCATGTGGAACCCAAGGGTGTGGGGTTTGGGGCGGAGAAGGTCCAGTGGTCTCCCCCACTTCCATAGTCTACTTCCTGCTCATGAGTCTTTCCCATGCAACTCTCAGGGCACACTTCACCTCCTGTCTAGTCTAGCTCTGTGTGGTCTCAGTTGATTTACCATTTAATTTTTAAAAAGTAATAAAAATTACAAAGCATATATGGTCATAATTTATTTGGGGGCTGGATATAAGTTTCTAATTTTATTTTATTATATTCAAAGATGGACTGTATACAAATTATAAATCCTTGACTATTTGTTAAGGTTAAAAAAAAAAAGTTCATCCAGTGTTTTATCAAATGAGTTTGTAGCAGACAGACCAGATCTGCCCTGGTCCCAGGTCCTACCCCTGCCCAAGTACCACCCATGGGGAACAAGTCCACTCCTCCATGATTTCCTCACACAAGGAGCCATTTTTAGGGATCTAGTCCTGCTACTAGTTTGTTCCCCTGTGGGGAGAACCAGGATCAATGACAAGGAGACACAGAGTCAGTTTAACATGTGGGCAGCCAGGGCAGTCTCCTCTCTTGTTGGCAGAGGAACCCCAAGCCTCTGGCTCATTCACCTTTTATTCACTAGAACATGGGTACTAGCAATTAAAATAATACAAAATTCAACTGCCTCATGTTGGCTGTTAATACATGGTTAAACAACTTAATCTCAACGGTGTAACCTTTTCCCTAGATCCTGCAATACATCATCACCCCTGAATGCCGTCTTTCTCCTTTGTGCTAACAGAGGAGATTAATTAGGCCTCACTTTACCTCTGGTCCTCCCGCATGAGTTCAACAGTTTCTCTATTGCTAGCCAGGTATAGTGAGACAAGCTTGTAATCCCAGTAATCCAGAGTCTGAGGCAAAAAGATCCACTGGTTTCAAATATTTGCATTTGTCATTGTTTGGGGAAGTTAAAATTCTGGGGCAGGTCAATTTTGAAAAATCAGTATTTTTTCAAAACTTTCTTATAAGTTTTATTTTTCTCTAGGGTCAGATAGATAAAATAATTTTCAGTATAAAGCATCACCATTAATACTTAAAAGAAACTTTTGTCTTAAATGTATCAGATATAAATACTTTTGGCTAATTTATTTTTGGTTAATGTTTTGAGATACTCTTTCCTCTTCTACTTCAAACTTTGTTGTTTTGTTACCTTATAGAAATTTCTTTTGATAATATTAAGCTGCATTTGGTTGTTTGTGAATTCAAAGTGAGGCACTATTTTAGCAAATATCCTTAGACAAATTTGCGCATATCTGTTGTTTGAAAGTTATGAATCCTCTTTATTATTTGAATTGCTCCCTTTAACATAGGCCACTCTGGCTATTAGTAGGTGCCCTTTTGGGTGGCTGTGATATCAGAGAGTCACACATTTTGATTTTTTTTTTTTTTGAAGTTGAGTTTAAAAATGTGTTTCTATAGAAAACTGTTTTATATTTTAAAAACTTTCAACTTAAAATTTGGATTTAATATTTGAAAGATGCTCATTTTATTTCACCAGAATTTCTATAAATTCACTGCAGGACTGAGACAGGAGAATCTAAATTGTTCCGTCCTATGGCCAGAGATTGCCTTTGATTTTAAAATTAAAAAAAAAAAACTGATGGCAGAGTGTATTAAAAGTTTCCTGAGAAACTTTTACAGCTTTTAGGCAACAGCATCAGGACTCAAACCCACATCTCACAGTGTTTAGTGTTGTGTCTGACATAACACAGACTCTCAAGAAATGCTTAAGGGTTAGATGCTGAGAAAAGAAAATAAGGATTTTTCTTTCCTTTTTCCTGCCATCAATGAAGGAGAAGGTCTGAGCAGCAATGTTTTTGATTTCTGAAACTGGAAGTTCAAGGATACTTTCCACAGGCAGCGGTTTCTGGACCATTTCTATGTTTTAGACTCTGTTATCCAGATTCCTAAAAAAGAAGTAGTTAACTTTTCATGCTGGCTAGTCAAGGCAAAGAGATTGGAGATGTGAAGTTGGCAGTTTAGCAATGCTCAGTAATTTATCATTCAATTCTTTTGCAAATGCTGTATTTTCTTTGCCAAACCATCCTGATCCTTCTTCTACCCCGGAGTCACGTTTTCAACAAAGCAGTTGTTAGCAGAGGATAAAGCACCCAGCATTTTAATCCAGCTTTAAACACTGACTGCATTTCAGAAGAGCTTTGAAGAAGAAATATATATAACCTGTATTATTTCCAGTGAAGAAGAAGAAAAAAAAACCCTTTAATTCAGTTACATGTAGTGTATTAAATTATTCATGGAGAAATCAGATTTTGATTTCCAAGACAAATATTTTGTTTAAAACCTCTACTTGAAGTTTTCACATTTCTAGTACTATTTGAAAATACCTCCCCTTTCTCTCACCTTGTCTTGTGGGTGTGACTTCATCCTCCTGACTGATGCTGTAAAGTATATATTGGACCATGACCCTCCCTGCTGTCCCAGTGTGGACATTAAGCTCCTAACAATGGTCTATTTTGCTAATCGCATCTCTGCTCATCTCTCTAAATGTACCATAGTTGCCCATTTGCTGTTTTTGAATGTAAGGAGGCTCACCTGGGGCCTCAGAGTTCCTCTCTTGGTCTTCCCCTCGGAAAACTCCTAGCTTGCATACTCTTTCTTCCATCCAGCCTTGGTCAAGTGTCAACCTTCCAATGAGATCTTTCTAGACCACCATTTACAATTAAAACTTATTTTCTCTGTTTCAGCTCTGGTATTCTCTACTCCATGCTTTATACACTCACTCATCTAACCACTCTGCATAAAGAAACGTGCACACATATACATAGAAATATTTTAAAGTTATTTTATCTATTGTTTAAACACCACGACTACAATATTTGCTTCACAAATTTTCTCTCCCCACTCAATACATTCTCAAGCCCTAGGTAACATGATAAAGTCAGTTGCATTTAGATAATCTCCTTATCTAAGATTAACTGATTTCTGAGCTTAATTATACCTGAAACAATTCCCTTTGCCACATAATGAACCACAATGATGGAAGCAATTGTCCATCATATTTAGTGGATACAAGGGCATTTACACTAAAGGAGCATCAGAAGGCATGTTAAAATGCTGTCTATTGTACCTCCTCCTTTATATTCCCTTCATCCTGCATCAAATATGCATTGATTCTCAGATAATTTCTGCTTCTCTTTATGGAAATACAGTATCAACCTGACCCACACACAAAGACTGCTGACCACTGACTTTGGACTGTTCTTCTTATCTTGTTTTTGAGGCCCTGAGGTAGGCTGACAGGAAGGCAAACATGAAACCAAAAGGCTTTGTATAGCAAGTGCACTCATTTCCTATGTCATATGGATCACCATAAATCTGGAAGCTTAATAAAATGTACTTCTGCACAGGTCTTTAGGCCAGAACATTAGCTTGGGCTTCATGAGACTAAAAGCAAGGTGTGCACAGGACTGCATCCCTCCTGGGGGTTCTGGAAGTCAGCCCAGATCTCAGATGCTGCCCATATTGTGGTTTATGGGCTCATATCCTGCACTGCCAGAGCCAGCCGTGTTCCATTTCTCGTCCTTCTTCCCTCACTATTCTCACTATTCTCTATCTATCTATCTATCTATCTATCTATCTATCTATTTATGTATCTATCTATTTATACACACACACACATATATGCAGAAATTCTCCCATTTTAGGTACATATTTACTTAGATTGGATAATCCAAGGTCATACTTACCCCATGTTGCCATGTAAGGTGACATATACACAGATTCAAGCTTCTACAATCAATCTGAATAGGAGGTGGGCTCACTTCATAATTTTCTGAAGATGAGTTGAATTAGCTAAGGACAAATCTGCTTTTAGAAAGATTGGTCAGCTCAGTGGCAGAGGATTTACATAACATGTGCAAGGGTCTGAGTTCAATTCTTGATACTGCAAAAGGGGAGGGGAAAGGAGAGGAAAAGAAAGGAGAGGAGAAAGAGGAGAGAGAGGAAAAAGAAAAAGGGAAGAAAGAAAGAAAGAGAAAGAACAAAAGAAAGAAAGAAAGAAAGAAAGAAAGAAAGAACGAAAGGACAAGCTTGGTCTGCTCTAGGGGTAGATCTATCAATTACAGAAGAGGAATATTAACTAATCATAACTAATTCATAAGTAACTCAGTGTGCTGGCATAACCATATTTTTGGTACTGTTTGAAGAATGTTTCAATCCTTAACTTATGTGACCATTATCACTTAGAAAACATTATATTAATAATAGAAAATACTAACAATAGATGACGAAATATATGCAAGAAGAATTTAAATGACATTGTGCAAAATTTTACAAGAAGCAAGTGCCAGAGCCAGGATTCTGTCCAGGGACTCTGTCCCCCAGAGCCGATGGTCTCACCCCTTCATGGAACTGAGACTGACTTCTGCCAGACATGGAGAGAGGAACAATATTCAGGGAATGCATTATAGATGCCGTGGGAAATGGCAAAAGGTCATAAAAGGAGGGAGCATTCGAAACAGTAAAGAAAAGGGGAGAAAGACTCTTGATAAAATACCTTAGCTGCAGTCAAATCAATGCCTGCACTTTTCTATGAAATAGGAACCTTGGCCCCTATAATTGCACAACTCTTTAAATATTTGAAAGAGTAAATCAAGGATATTACGGAACAATACGTGCTGATGGGTATAGTCTCCCCCTTTGATTGCTACTTTGCAAGTTTCACAAATAACTAACTACCTGAGAACTTGCCTTTCTCAGACTGAATTTCATTTAGATTTTTTCTACCTTCTGGATTCTTATCCTTCCATGCCAAAATTATATTTTTCTAAAGATGTTTTCAAAAGTGTTTTTGTTCTGATTTAATGGGCTCTGTTTTCAGTGTTCAGGCTGAAATTGAGGAGATGCTTTATGAAAAGTGAATGCACCTGAATGGTGAAGGTTCCTGTGAACAGAAATGAAGTATTGTTCTCCTCTGAAGCTGCC